TTAGTTAGTTAGTTAGTAGTTAGTTAGTTAGTTAGTTAGTTAGTTAGTAGTTAGTTAGTTAGTTAGTTAGTTAGTTAGTTAGTTAGTTAGTTAGTTAGTTAGTTAGTTAGTAGTTAGTTAGTTAGTTAGTTAGTTAGTTAGTTAGTTAGTTAGTTAGTTAGTAGTTAGTTAGTTAGTAGTTAGTGTGGTGCTTCGAAGAACGAGTGTCGACTCCATAACACTGAACCCGTTCGGAAGGTGTCAGGTTAATAAAAAGCATTTGTCTAGATGTGGAACTTATTCAATTTTCCTGGGAATGTGAAAAATTATGTTCTTACGCCTGACATCAGTAATCTGTTCGCTGTTTAGCATCAATATATGTATGTACATATGAATACGTTAATATTTGCTCCGAAATTCGACTGTACTGGTAGGGCTTTAGTTTTTGTATATAAAATCCATAATATTAGGTGCTCTCATTAACACAGCGGCTTTGTTTTAAACACCTTATTTCAGTTGCTATATAAGATAGTGTCTTTCTTCATGGTTATGCAGTTGCCTACTGTATAAAGACCACATACCTTAAAATCACTATTATTCATACTATTGTTTTCAAAAGACATTCTTGATGATGTTCCTGTTAAGGTTGACGCAAATGTTTCTTAACAAAGATGTGTTCAATGAAATATGTATAATATGTGTCTAAAGAGGTAAATATCATGTCTTTGTTAAATTATGATTTATAACATTTATAAAGTTTCCAAAAAATGCCAAAAATCATAAATCAAGTTCAATTCAATAATGATAGCAATAGAATAATAGAACATTAATTTAATATTTTAATGCAACTGAATGAAGACGGGATTTCATTGTTAAGCGAAAAGTACGAATAACAAAAGTATTTGTTTTACTAAAGCGTTTTTCTTTTTAAAAGTTCAAAATTCAAGACCAAATGTATATAATAATGAATACTGATGTTAGTATGTAATTTTGTAAGTGAATGTTCAAGAAAAAATTTTGTAATCCATTTATTGTCTATTGTTTTATTTTTATTCTCTTTAATATCTAATCTTGTATAATCCGATTTTTGTTTCAGTGTTTTCATTTGGTGTCGTTTGGTTTGGAATATTTTTGAAATATTTGCATATTTGCTATAATTCCTTGACCTTTAGAATAAAAGGAAATTACTTATATTCAGATTATCACACACATTTTGTTTATTTATGTATGAGGGTAGTCAAAAAAAAGATGAAAAAGCAATTTTGTTTTTTAAATGGATAAATCACAATACCAAACATTATAGAACTTACAAAGATTTCCTGATTTTAATTCTTATGGAAAGGATTCTTGGATAGAATAACATGTTTGGAAATTTTTAATAAAATCTTTATAAATATTGAGAGAAACTTAATTTGTAATTACTTTTAAAAGACATTCAAGCCTGACCTCGTACACTCTATATTTATATTATATCTGTATATAAGTATAAAATGCTCATAATAAAATATTTATTACAAATTCATGTATTTTTTAAAAATATACACACATTTGTATGAACGTACATATGTATATACATATGTATAATACTGCAATATAATGGAGCGTATAAAAAATTGTCAATTCCTTGCAAAATATTTTTAAATATATTTTATATATTTACTAAAAACTATCCGCAAAGTGCACATGAATATTGTTCTCTTTGTGTATATTTGTACCACCAAAACCAACAGACCAAACTATTCGGTCAACCCACCAGCCAATCAGATAGAGTTTCAGCCAAAATTTGTTTACTACAATGGAGCTAAACCAGAAACTGAAATAATATATTAATTCGGCTTAAATCTATTTCTAACAACTATAGTATAGGAGACATTGATGGGCTACTAACTGAAAAAGCTATCAGTGGCAATAGTTTGAAAACAGTTTTAAACCTTTTATTTAAGAAGGAGAAGGGGAGCCGCAAAAGGGGGGAGGGGGGGGGAACACAGGGGCGGAACGAACGAACGAACGAACGAAACGAACGAAACGAAACGAACGAAACGAACGAACGAACGAACGAACGACGAAAGAACGAACGAACGAACGAAACAACGAACGAAACGAAACGAACGAAACGAACGAAACGAACGAACGAACGAACGAACGAACGAACGAACGAACGAAGAACGAACGAACGAACGAACGAACGAAACGAACGAACGAACGAACGAACGAACGAACGAACGAACGAAACGAACGAACGAACGAAAAACGAACGAACGAACGAACGAACGAACAACGAACGAACGAAAACGAACGAACGAACGAACGAACGAAAACGAACGAACGAAACGAACAAGAACGAACGAACGAACGAACGAACGAACGAACGAACGAACGAAAACGAACGAACGAAGAACGAACGAACGACGAACGAACGAACGAACGAACGAACGAACGAACGAAACGAACGAACGAACGAACGAACGAACGAACGAACGAACGAACGAACGAACGAAAACGAACGAACGAACGAACGAACGAACAACGAACGAACGAACGAACGAACGAACGAACGAACGAACGAACGAACGAAACGAACGAACGAACGAACGAAAAACGAACGAACTAACGAACGAAACGAACGAACGAACGAACGAACGAACGAACGAACGAACGAACGAACGACGAACGAACGAACGAACGAAACGAACGAACGAACGAACGAACGAGAACGAAAAACGAACGAAGAACGAACGAACGAACGAACGAACGAACGAAACGAACGAACGAACGAACGAAACGAACGAACGAACGAACGAACGAACAACGAACGAACGAACGAACAAACGAAACGAACAAAACGAACGAACGAACGAACGAACGAACGAACGAAAACGAACGAAACGAACGAAACGAACGAACGAACGAACGAACGAACGAACAACGAACGAAACGAACGAACGAACGAACGAACGAACGAACGAACGAACGAACGAACGAACGAACGAACGAACGAACGAAGAACGAACGAACTAAGAACGAACGAACTAACGAACGAACGAACTAACGAACTAACGAACGAACGAACTAATAAACTAATAACTAACTAACTAACTAACTAACTAACTAACTAACTAACTAACTAACTAACTAACTAACTAACTAACTAACTAACTAACTAACTAACTAACTAACTAACTAACGAACTAACTAACTAACCTAACTAACTAACTAACTAACTAACTAACTAACTAACTAACTAACTTACTAACTGGTTGTTGTTGCTTTAGGACTTTAGAAGAAAACGAAACGACTTTAGAAAGAAACGAACGATCAGAAGTAGGAGAGAGGAACAAAAACAGGTTTCAACTTGGAAGAATTGTAAGAGAATCTGAGTCTTCCTATGAAATCTATTTGAAGATATTTCTAATTCCACTGATAAAACCTTGTAGACTGCGAGGGCTGAGTCCCGCAATTTCTCCCAGTAATCAAGGAACCTATTTCTTAGCCATTTTCAACATGTACCTATTCTAGGACTGTGGCAAATTATGTGCTGAATCGTCTCTAATTCCTCTGCATCTCCACATATCCTCCTATATTGTATTACTGTTTCTCTTACTGTCAAATGCATTAATTAAGAAATACCCTCTTCAAATATCGTCAGCATTCTTAGTCTGCTACTATCCAATTATAGAAGTTTCTTGGCCTCACATCAAGTGTTAGCCAAATGGCAATTGATATTCTGCCATCTATTCTACTATTCCAGGACTGGCTGATAATGTTACAGCTTCTTTCGAAAATCAACCTACAATAGTAATAGATGGGTGTTTTCACTTTTATATCCCTATCATCTATGTAATAGTTCGAACGTAATCTAGCTAATTCGCCCGCAACTTTATTACTTTTCACATTGAAGTTCCCCTTCACACAGCACAGTCTAATAGTAAGTAAAACAATCTACAACCAGGCGCGAATGTACCGAATAACATAAAAATGCTCTAAGAGCAGCTTAACTATAACATAATCTAGGACATAAACTGTCACAACTGACTATAGATCGATATGATTCCGTATAATTTTCACCGAAATTATACCGATATGTAAGTACAGCTTACCACATCTGGTTGCAGACCCCAAAACTTTTCACTTTTATATCCCTATCATCTATGTAATAGTTCGAACCAAATCTAGCTAATTCGCCCGCAACTTCATTACTTTTCACATTGAAGTTCCCCCTTCACCCAGCACAGTCTAACACAATCTAGTCACAATCTACAATCAGGCGACAATGTACCGTATAACATGGAAATGCTCTAAGAGCAGCTTAACTATGACATAATATATGACATAAACTGTAACAACCGACTATCGATATGTTTCCGTATAATTTCTGCCGATATGTAAATTCAGTTTACCACATCTGGTTGCAGACCTCAAATCTTTTCTATAGAATTTCCATTCTTTCTTGAGTATTTTTTATCCCATGAAAGTTTGTTATCAAGTAAAGTCTATGAATACTTAGCTCTAAATTAACTTAGTTTGACGTCATCTAACATTGGCAGCCTTTAGTTGCCTTACAATGTTTAACGCCCAATCGCTCAGGATTGATTTGTCTATATCAAGAGCTCACAATAGAAAAGATAAAACACCCCCTGTCGAGTACCCCTGGTAACCCTTCTTTTATTGCAATGATACCCAAGGTTCGATTTTTTAATTCTGCTTCTAAGCATGCAGACTATCCACTTCATCAGGAAGTCCTGAAACCCAAGCTCTAATGAGGCTTTTCGTTGCGGTCACACATATAATTTTAGTAGCCCTACCTATCGTTCCATCATTCCAAATTGTCGTATGGGTTTTATTTGCGTATGTTTATGTGTCCATTGATGTTCCCAACAAATCTAATCATTAGCGTTAATGTTTTAAATTAGTGTTAATTCTTTCCCCCAAATAAATTTGTTCTACTTTCAACTTTAAATCCACTATAATTTAAAGCTCTCTATTGACACTTTTTCTATTAACATTATAAATTTAACTTACAGCTTTAGGTAAATATATAGGAGCTCCATGTAACAATTCGAAATGTGAGTCCACTCTATTGCATGTCGTCTGTGAAAAGGATACAAATACATGCGGCTGTGAAAAAAACTATCCCGTACAACTGGGTTTAACCAGGGGGTGCGATAAACGTAAGTATTTTATACATTGAACTACCAGGCAGCCAGTTAGCCATTCATCCATACAACCACTTTCACACTAAAAACATATACATACATACGTTTGTCTGTATATAACTGAGACATCTGAAAAGATTTATGATTGAAATCCATTTTTATATACATATGTTGTATGTATTGATGATGATGGTGTGTGATGGTTGGGAGTAGTGATGATGATGCCGGTGCTGGTTTGGATTTCTTTTTTCTATTGTGTGTTTTATTTTATCACGTTCTCTCGTTGCAACAGCTAAAAAACTAGGTGAACAATGTTTCTACGATGAGACATGCCAGTACAATGATGAAAATTCCCTTTGTGTTCAGGTGCGTCATAATGCCATGTGTCAGTGTGCGGGTGGTTTCCATTCGGTTAGCTATACAAAACCAACACGACGAGTATTTTGTACTCAAGGTAAGTGTGTATACAATTGCCATTCTCAAAATTGTAAGTATTTTGTAGTATCAACCGACCATTCGACCGACCTAACAACCGACCACTAAATAAAGCCAATGGCTCTGTAACTTAAGCTGTTGGCAGTGAGCACCGTAACACTTATAATTTATTACAAGATGAAGCATTTTTTGTAAATAATAGTAGATTGCAACGGTATCTTTTACAATTTCTTTTATTTAAATATACAAGATGTTTGTCAGTTTTTGACAAAGTTGCATTTTTCGTTTTCAAGATATATCTCAATCACATGTAATATGAAATGATGTTACAGAAATGTTATTACCATTCTTACCATTCCATTGTGTTTTTGCGAAAGTAACAGATGACAAAAATATCAAATATTTGAACTAGTGGTCGGCACAAAGAGAACATGCCAAACAAACGTCGTTGCTAAAAGTTAAAAACGAGTGTTTGTTAAGATTTACGATTGTATTAGTATTATTTACTTGCAAAAATGTTATAGTTCTTGGTCCCTGGATTATATAGCTGCCAACCACTGCACAGTTTGTATCTTTCTAGGGAGTGACTTAGTAATATATTTGTGTTCTTTAATGGATGATAATATAAAATGACACTGAAATAAATTGGTAATAAACGTAAACTTATACCTACGAAGTCTGTTAAAGAAGGTCCTTAACATCCACAGTTCAGGATATTTACAAGGTCATGTCCTGATTATATCTGTCATGGATTACCTTGAGAAGGGTAAAATTAACACTGACGAATACTATTCATGGGTGTTGAAAATATTATCTTCAAATGAAGCTGCGCAAACTCACCAGATAGTGTAGTAGTGTTACCAGATCTGATAAACTATGGAACCTGACGAGTATCTCTTCGATCAGACTGTTATTTTCGATTGAACCAGCGATTTTATTGTCTCTGAACCCTGTAATTACTTCAATTCAATTCACCGATTTCATTTTCCATTTACCACAAATATACAACGAAGTAGAAGGTTAGCTACTCAAACAAATTAAAGTCGCTTACGTGGGCCCGTCTGATTCAGTCCCGTTGTGATACCCTGTTGGTCGTAGAAGTTATTTTATATAAAAAAATAATACTCACTACTTCCAGAGTTAAACCAACAGGTTCGATTCATGAAATTTAGGATTTTTTTAAGATTTATCCCAGATATATCCTCCATACAAGAGAGAACAGCAGATCCAAAATAGAGTTCTCTGCTCCCAGCTAATGTTGTTCCACATTAACAGAGGAGATATAGTATCCCCCTCATTGTGACAACTTCTGCAGCAGTCATTGTATTGGAGACACATTCTTCTGGCATGATTGAAAATAGCACAGTGTCCCGTTATTACCGATAGCAGAGTTCGTATTTGCTCCCTTCGAAAACTTAACAGTAGAATTACACAACTTTTTTTCTACGCTTAACCTGCAGTTATCATGAGTAAAGTCTTTAACAACGCCCTTTATAAACTCTACAATTGAGATAAATCTTAAATCTGCCGAAATAATGTTCTGAGGGGTGTCACGGGCTGCATGCTTATAATCGCTGTACGAAGAAAGAAGGTTCTTCAAGACAAAGAACTTAACATTTGTCTGACAACAAATTCTTCGCGGAAGTTCCCCACCGCCTACAACAGATGCAATAGAAAACCCGACTTTTAAAACAAGAGTAGTTTTTGTTGTTAGAACCAGCACTCAGGGGATGACCCCTACTCATGCAGTACATTGTGTTGCAACTAGGAAAATAGATTATGGGAGGGAGAATAGAGGGAGTAGTGTTTGTGGACATTCGATTTAAACCTACCCACATTGCAAGTGACAGGAAAGACTTCTGGGGAAGTTTGTTTCATATACGGACAGTATGACTAAAGAACGAGTTCTCTCTGTAGTGCATTGTGCGATCCACTGGCCAATCGACCACAAATGGTTGTGCTCTTGCTGAATGTCGTGGGTTACGTGTCAATATGCGGGTTCCGAGAACAAGTTCCCTAATTTTATAAGAACACATTCCATTATAGTATCGATAGGACAGAGTAACGCATCCCACATTGCGACGATGCTCCAGTGAATCAATAAAGTTGGATACCCTATTGTCACCTGTACGCGGTAGAGTAGCCCCAAAATAGACTTTGAAGCGCCGGCCCATACATGAGAGTTTTATTCCATTTTAGTTCGGATGTAGGTGGTGTAGATAGTAAGGATGTCAGAGGGAGTGAAATATGTCTTACACCTTTTGAGAAAACCGAGACACTTGAATGCTTCTTTCGACACTCGAAATATATGTTTGGTCCAGCGAACATCACACTCAAGGTAAGGATAGAAAACCCGACTTTTAAAACAAGAGTAATTCTACGTTCGGTATGGATCAGAATTAATGTCGTTTGTTTCAATTTAAGGAATAATCGGTTAAAAGTAGCACTAGTTTTAAGACTGGATCTTGATACAGAACCCTCGGAAAACTGATTTCAACATACACACAGACAGACAGACGGACATGTCTAAATCGACTCCGCTATCTATAAGGATCCAGAATATATATACTTTATAGGGTGGGAAAATTATATTATAGAAATTTAAAACGGAATGACAAACTTAAATATACCATTTTCACGAAGGTTAAGGGTATAACAAGGGAGAATCGAATTTCTGTACAAATTACACGGACCAACAGGATTTTAAAAGTGTCGAAACCCTGAAAACAAAATAAACTTTTTTAAAGGACTGAGCAGCGCTGAAACCGAATCTGGTCTCAGAATTTATTCCATCACATCAGGTTTTCAAGATAACATGTTATAAAAATTGAAAATAAAACATTTTTGTTCAAAATTTAGGTTGAAATAACTTGAATAAGAAAAAAATATAACAGGGGTTAAACCTTTCTTTTAAAGTCGACAGATTGAACTTTGGAACAACATAACAAAATTTATAAATAAAGAGATCTTAGGGCCGTTATAGTGTCTCAAATATGGTCAAAAAGGAGTTTTCTTTCGATTTTAAAAATATCTCGAAAACTTGATGTGATAGCGAAATTCTGAGGCTAGACTCGGGGTTTCGAAATTTGCTGGCCTGTTCGAAGCAAAAACTTACTCAATTAATATTTCCTCCCTTTCAATCCACAGATATCGACGAATTAAATTCGGATTTACCAACACTGCTGGGCGTATGTATCGGCATTGGTGTACTGGCTGGTCTTATCTGTATGGTACTCCATTTGTTTAGTAAAACAAAATATCCACGTCATCGTAATTTCGGTGATGCAAATTTACCGCCACCTATAATGTATTCAAGTGAAACAGGTAATATTAATCCATGTTAAGCAAGCAAGTGTCCAACCAATGACCTACTAAGCCATGTATTTGGTGTAGTGTTGTGTTGTATATTGTTGTTATTATTATCTATATAAATATTATTATAAAAAAAACACCTGCTATTTAATATTTTTATTATTACTTATTATTATTATAAATTACTATTATTATTATTATATGATTTTGGCTATTGTGAATCTGATATGCCTTCACATTTACCAGGTATACCATTGACAGTGCAATCCGGTCGTCCCTCCTCACGTTCAAGTATACGCTCTAGTGGCGGCTCAATCGGTTCCTATGGTAATCGTCGTTCGTCAACGGGAGGCGTAGGCGGCAATAATAGTGCGACAGCTGGCTCCAAGGGTATACTTGTCTCAACATCACGCACAGGTGCGGCTAGATCAGCCGCCATATTGCTTATATCGTGTCACTTAACAACCTTATCTAAACAAACGGCCGCGTCACGCGTCTCATCGCGTCAAACTAGTGGCGCTGGTTGCAGTGCCAATTCTCGAGATAATCTTGATGAGAACGGTTCAGATCCGGGTAGTCGAAGTTGCGATAGTACACTATCGATGACGCGTCATCTGCAAAAGCAATTAAATCATCAGCGTCATCTATTGAGCTTCGAACTATCGCCGGCCAAAACAAAAAATCACGATAGAGTTAGAGCATTGTTGGGCCTAAATGGAATCGATAATTATCGTAGCGATGATGATGCGTTAAATAGTTTAGATAATGGTCTTTTAGAAATTGGTGCACTTCCTACACCGGCCAGTGAAACCCCAAGATTTGCGGTAAACATTTCTTAAAAAAACAAAACAAACAAAATCCAAAAAAAATAAAAAAAATACCTACTACTACTACAACAAACAATCAATCAAACAACCAATTAAATCAAACAAAATTTTTTTATCAATCAGTTTAATCAATATGACGTAAAAACCACCAAAATTTCCAAAAAACTAATTTTAACAAAAACCATTTTATATTTGATAATTTTTCTCTCTCAAATACTCCAACTATTTCTTTTTGAAAATTGTTCCTTGAGTTTTTCTTTTCTTTCAAATCCAAATCCTCTTTTAATTTACAACAAAACAACAACATATAAACTACTATTTAACAATTAAAACTTACAACAACAAAATCTCTATTTAAACAATTTGTTATTGTATCTGTTAACTAGACTAACTAAATTATAGCAAATTTTTTTAGTGTGCGTGCGTGTGTGTTATTTGTGTTTTAGTATTAAATATTTAATTAATTAATTAATTGTTGTTATTAATTTTTCTAACAAAAAAAAAACAAAACATCTCTCTATATCATTATAATTGATGTTGTTTTCTGTGTGTGTGTGCGTGTTTGTTTAGGTATGTGCTGCATTTTAATTAATTAGCAAATTAATTAAAATGACAATAAACACATACGCCATACAAAATGTTTAAATTAATAATATTCTTATTATAAATATATTCTATTTTTTCTCTAATTGTTAATGATGGTTAAATCTACTTTGTATTCTATTCAGATCTAAGTATTGTTCTCTTTACATACTAATACTTATACATTTTTTCAATTAGTATTTTCCTTTTTTTATTTCTTTTACTTCCTTTATAATCGTTTGATAACTGTTTAAATAATGTGTTAAATTTAAAATTTAACTTAAGCTGTGTACACACATTGGCCTTAAAAGTAGATTATGTAGATATTTAATTTCTAATTTAAAAGACTTAGTTTTATTCAGTCAATAGTAGGTACTAAGGACTCTTCTCTAAAAAAGGCGTATACTTAATATTTGTAATATCAATAAATCATTAACACGTATACGTATCGATGTGGTTAATAATATAAGTGGTTTCCACTTGAAATGAAAAATATTAAGATTAGGTTTTTTTGACTGATTATATATTAACAGTTTTTGTTCCTTATAATAAGAGCTACAACTTTACCTTGGAGAGTAAATCAAAATTTCAAACTGTTTGCATGATATGAGCTTTTAAAAATGATAATTTTTTCCAAAAATGGCATCAGATTAACACCATCAAGCTCCCTTCCTTTTATAGCAAATACATTCGTTCTTTCATTGCACTTCTCACCAAGTGACCAGATTCCGATATGAAGCAGAGCTTACCACTGAAATAGTATTCGCTTCTGGTAGGCTCTAAATGTATAAATTTCTGTTGGCGTCATATTTAATCCAATCCAATTTATACATCCCATAATAGCTCGGACATCTGCCTGGAAGATATTGATTTGTCTCCCCATTAAGAGCCCTACCACTGAAGCATTCTCTAATGTTCCACTTGACCACAATCTCTTATGTGGAGATAATATTTCACAATGCCCGTTAATTTCCGATGTTTGTCCAGTATACATTAATAACATGTCCAACAACCGGCATTGATCAATTCTCCTAGAGATAAGGACAGCTATATACATATATTTCAATTGGAAGGATATCTTAAAAATGTTTCCAGAGCTTTAGTTTACATAGTGCTCATGCCACCACTTATACCAAAGTAACATGAATGCTGAACTCCTTGTTGTAGTATTCTATAACTGTTTAGAGCCAGCAATAGATTCCCGCAAAGGCTTTCTATAATGTTTGCCATTAACATGATCCTCTATCTATGTCTATGTCTTACAGTTCTCGACAATTTCCTCTATACGATCGGACACGTTTGGTGTTTGTCAAATATGTCCAGCAAGAGTTGATAACCTGTCTTGTAATCCACTTTGGTCAATTAGCTGGCAATATTTCCAGAGCTTTGGTTGACTAAGTGCTCATGGCATCATTATTCGAGGAAAATATGTAACGTCGAATGTAATGACGCCTCAACAAATTTGTTCCTAATATAGGAGTAACATCCTAATGAGCTTGTCTTGAAATACCAAATCGTATATCTTGATCTCTGCAAAAGTTCGATATTAGTTGATCCTTGCCAGAAATAAATTAAAGAATGGACGACAAAACTATATTGGTATTAACTAATTTGCATTATTATTTGAATCAATAATAAATCAGTTATGCTTACTATCCCTGAAGGCCGTAGTAATAAGACCTTCAGAAATTATGAAAACATTTTCATGGCTAGAAAACCTAAGATAATATTATTATGGAAATTGATAAAACATTTGAATATTTACATTTTCGTTGACCGATACCTTAACCGAATACCTTGCAAAGGCTCTGCAAAATAGTATAGTGAGGTTCAACTTTTTATCTGTCCATGTCAATAAACAGGTTGTGATAATACATTGGATTGATATGACATGGGGTCGAAGCAGAGAACTTGTCTGCCAGCTAGAGAGAGTTTTGGACTTTGTTTTGTGCCGGTTTCTATTCTATTCTAGTCTATAGTCTAGTCTATAGTCTAGTCTATAGTCTAGTCTATAGTCTAGTCTATAGTCTAGTCTATAGTCTAGTCTATAGTCTAGTCTATAGTCTAGTCTATAGTCTAGTCTATAGTCTAGTCTATAGTCTAGTCTATAGTCTAGTCTATAGTCTAGTCTATAGTCTAGTCTATAGTCTAGTCTATAGTCTAGTCTATAGTCTAGTCTATAGTCTAGTCTATAGTCTAGTCTATATCTGTCTATAGTCTAGTCTATAGTCTAGTCTATAGTCTAGTCTATAGTCTAGTCTATAGTCTAGTCTATAGTCTAGTCTATAGTCTAGTCTATAGTCTAGTCTATAGTCTAGTCTATAGTCTAGTCTATAGTCTAGTCTATAGTCTAGTCTATAGTCTAGTCTATAGTCTAGTCTATAGTCTAGTCTCTATAGTCTAGTCTATAGTCTAGTCTATAGTCTAGTCTATAGTCTAGTCTATAGTCTAGTCTATAGTCTAGTCTATAGTCTAGTCTATAGTCTAGTCTATAGTCTAGTCTATAGTCTAGTCTATAGTCTAGTCTATAGTCTAGTCGATAGTCTAGTCTATAGTCTAGTCTATAGTCTAGTCTATAGTCTAGTCTATAGTCTAGTCTATAGTCTAGTCGATAGTCTAGTCTATAGTCTAGTCTATAGTCTAGTCTATAGTCTAGTCGATAGTCTAGTCTATAGTCTAGTCTATAGTCTAGTCTATAGTCTAGTCTATAGTCTAGTCTATAGTCTAGTCTATAGTCTAGTCTATAGTCTAGTCTATAGTCTAGTCTATAGTCTAGTCTATAGTCTAGTCTATAGTCTAGTCTATAGTCTAGTCTATAGTCTAGTCTATAGTCTAGTCTATAGTCTAGTCTATAGTCTAGTCTATAGTCTAGTCTATAGTCTAGTCTATAGTCTAGTCTATAGTCTAGTCTATAGTCTAGTCTATAGTCTAGTCTATAGTCTAGTCTATAGTCTAGTCTATAGTCTAGTCTATAGTCTAGTCTATAGTCTAGTCTATAGTCTAGTCTATAGTCTAGTCTATAGTCTAGTCTATAGTCTAGTCTATAGTCTAGTCTATAGTCTAGTCTATAGTCTAGTCTATAGTCTAGTCTATAGTCTAGTCTATAGTCTAGTCTATAGTCTAGTCTATAGTCTAGTCTATAGTCTAGTCTATAGTCTAGTCTATAGTCTAGTCTATAGTCTAGTCTATAGTCTAGTCTATAGTCTAGTCCATAGTCTAGTCTATAGTCTAGTCTATAGTCTAGTCTATAGTCTAGTCTATAGTCTAGTCTATAGTCTAGTCTATAGTCTAGTCTATAGTCTAGTCTATAGTCTAGTCTATAGTCTAGTCTATAGTCTAGTCTATAGTCTAGTCTATAGTCTAGTCTATAGTCTAGTCTATAGTCTAGTCTATAGTCTAGTCTATAGTCTAGTCTATAGTCTAGTCTATAGTCTAGTCTATAGTCTAGTCTATAGTCTAGTCTATAGTCTAGTCTATAGTCTAGTCTATAGTCTAGTCTATAGTCTAGTCTATAGTCTAGTCTATAGTCTAGTCTATAGTCTAGTCTATAGTCTAGTCTATAGTCTAGTCTATAGTCTAGTCTATAGTCTAGTCTATAGTCTAGTCTATAGTCTAGTCTATAGTCTAGTCTATAGTCTAGTCTATAGTCTAGTCTATAGTCTAGTCTATAGTCTAGTCTATAGTCTAGTCTATAGTCTAGTCTATAGTCTAGTCTATAGTCTAGTCTATAGTCTAGTCTATAGTCTAGTCTATAGTCTAGTCTATAGTCTAGTCTAGTCTAGTCTAGTCTAGTCTATAGTCTAGTCTATAGTCTAGTCTATAGTCTAGTCTATAGTCTAGTCTATAGTCTAGTCTATCTAGTCTATAGTCTAGTCTATAGTCTAGTCTATAGTCTAGTCTATAGTCTAGTCTATAGTCTAGTCTATAGTCTAGTCTATAGTCTAGTCTATAGTCTAGTCTATAGTCTAGTCTATAGTCTAGTCTATAGTCTAGTCGATAGTCTAGTCTATAGTCTAGTCTATAGTCTAGTCTATAGTCTAGTCTATAGTCTAGTCTATAGTCTAGTCTATAGTCTAGTCTATAGTCTAGTCTATAGTCTAGTCGATAGTCTAGTCTATAGTCTAGTCTATAGTCTAGTCTATAGTCTAGTCTATAGTCTAGTCTATAGTCTAGTCTATAGTCTAATCTATAGTCTAGTCTATAGTCTAGTCTATAGTCCAGTCTATAGTCTAGTCTATAGTCTAGTTTATAGTCTAGTCTATAGTCTAGTCTATAGTCTTGTCTATACTCTAGTCTATAGTTTAGTCTATACATAGTCCAATTTAGTGGAAACTTAGTTTTGTACCCTAAAACCTAAAGACTACTGTCTTGGTTATAGTTAGTACTACATATTTCAAAATTTAGATTTACATTGAGGTACTAGTAATCTAAAGGTGGTTAAAGTTATTAACTTGATAAAACTTTTCTCGCAATTAATGCAGAATTACACTACATCTATTATATTTGTGTTACTTTTAAGACACTATTTTGTTTAATTAAATTTTGTAGTTTAGATACAAATTATTAACACTTACTCAAATACACATATTGAATTCTTGTATTGTCAATTGTCTCTTATACTAACACAAGAAAAATTTTACTCTGAAATATTAACTATGTGTAACTAAATTAGATTAGAACTAAACTAAGTGTAAATTTTGTTATTTGCTGCCTTCTTCTGATTTGAAATCGATGTTTATTGAACTATTTATATACATGTCTATTTATTATGTTGTCTTTTAACTTGTATAACTATTTAATTTGTTTAATTAATGTTCTTTTTTAATTTTATTTTTTGAAAAATGAAATCAAAACACTACAAACCTTAAACACAAAAGAAATCTCACCACCACCAGTTGAACATTTAAAAAAAAAATTCAAAATTCAAAACAATTTTTTATGATTTAGAGGAAAACTGAAAAAAAAAGAAATTATATATTTATTTTGTACACAGGTCAAACAAAAAGGTAAAAGAAACTAAAACTAAATTTTAAGAAAAAGCGTTAGTGATCATAAAAAAGCAATATGGCGGTGACTGAGTCCAAGTTTTTATTAAACCAAAAAAAATGAATCTTGTTTTTTTATTATTGAGTAATTTTTTTAAAAGAATGTAATTTTTTTAATATTAAATTGCTTGTACTAATTACTAAAAAAAAAACTATTAACAAATTTAAAAATATTTCACACATAAACAAATAAAAGCAGCTTTGAACTTTGACATCATTGACCTTCATACTTCAGGGCTGCTTTTATTTATTTATAAAATATTTTTAAAGAAATGTTTTTATTAAATTGATTAAATACTTACTTACTAATAATAATAATTTAAATGAAATACTAATTAATAATATTTTCCTTAAATTACACATTAACAAATACCAAAAACACAATTTTAATTATTCTTTTTAAATCAAGTATTTAACTTTTAATAATATTGTAATTGTTTTAAAAACACAATTTTTTTCTGTAATATGTTTTCTTAATTTATGTTTTTTTGTATTTAATTTAATTATTTGTATTTTTCAAAATTTTCATATTATTTGTTGGCTTTTTTCCTCAAACTAAATTATGAAAAAAAAACCATGTAAAACCAAATTAAGCTGCATCTTGCATTCAAAATTTCTTTTATAAATTATTCTTATGTGTCACAAAATTTTCTCTATAAAATCAAAATTTCATACTTGTTTTCTTTGAATCTGTCAAAGGCCTTTAGCTTGTTGCTTTCAAAATCAAAAACCCAGTTGTTCCTTAAACAAAACCAACAAAAACGCATTTTTTAAAATACCGCTTAATTTCATATTTTTAACTCAAATAATCAATTCCATTTTTATTATTAAAACAAAAATATTGGAAATTTAATTAATTTTATTTTGTGTTTAATTTATATTTGCATTTTTTTATTCTCTCTCTCTTTCTTTGTCTCCTCGTTAACTTTCTTAAACATAAACCTAAAAACCAACAAAAATTTAGGTTCTCGAAGACCAAGTCTAGCGTCGGTACACAGTACGAGTTCATCCGTACGTAGCTATAGCATGATGCGTTTCGAAAAGGAACAACAGCAGAAGGAAATCCGCCAAGAGATGAAATTACGTTTGGCTCGTCTGCAACAACATCAGCATCAGCAACAACATCAACAACATTTGAGGGAATATAAACCACAAATCATTATCGGCGATACTGCTGTTTCCATGCAACATGGTGTTGCATTGAGTCGCATTACCATGGCTACGCCTAGTCCAATAACACCCAATTCAACGGATGAACTTTTACCAGCGGTCGATGAAAGTCAAGAGGTGAGTCATTACTGAACGTACGTTCGAAAGGTTTTGAATAATTTAATTAGTATCGTAATAGTCTATACTATAGATTAGACTATAGACAAGACTATAGACTAGACTATAGACTAGACTATAGATTAGACCATATACCAGACTATAGACTAGACAAAAGACTAAACTATAGACTAAACTATAGATTAGACTATAGACTAGAGTATAGATTAGACTATAGGCTAGACTATAGACTAGACTATAGACTAGACTATAGACTAGACTATAGACTAGACTATAGACTAGACTATAGACTAGACTATAGACTAGACTATAGACTAGACTATAGACTAGACTATAGACTAGACTATAGACTAGACTATAGACTAGACTATAGACTAGACTATAGACTAGACTATAGACTAGACTATAGACTAGACTATAGACTAGACTATAGACTAGATTATATAGACTAGACTTAGACTAGACTATAGACTATAGACTAGACTATAGACTAGACTATAGACTAGACTATAGACTAGACTATAGACTAGACTATAGACTAGACTATAGACTAGACTATAGACTAGACTATAGACTAGACTATAGACTAGACTATAGACTAGACTACAGATTAGACTATAGATTAGACTATAGACTAGACTATCGACTAGACTATAGACTAGACTATAGACTAGACTATAGACTAGACTATAGACTAGACTATAGACTAGACTATAGACTAGACTATCGACTAGACTATCGACTAGACTATAGACTAGACTATAGACTAGACTATAGACTAGACTATAGACTAGACTATAGACTAGACTATAGACTAGACTATAGACTAGACTATAGACTAGACTATAGACTAGACTATAGACTAGACTATAGACTAGACTATAGCCTAGACTATAGACTAGACTATAGACTAGACTATAGACTAGTCTATAGACTAGACTATAGACTAGACTATAGACTAGACTATAGACAAGATTATAGACTAGACTATAGACTAGACTATAGACTAGACTATAGACTAGACTATAGACTAGACTATAGACTAGACATAGTCTAGACTATAGACTAGACTATAGACTAGACTATAGACTAGACTATAGACTAGACTATAGACTAGACTATAGACTAGACTATAGACTAGACTATAGACTAGACTATAGACTAGACTATAGACTAGACTATAGACTAGACTATAGACTAGACTATAGACTAGACTATAGGACTAGACTATAGGACTAGACTATAGACTAGACTATAGACTAGACTATAGACTAGACTATAGACTAGACTATAGACTAGACTATAGGACTAGACTATAGACTAGACTATAGACTATAGAATAGACAATAGACTAGACTATAGACTAGACTATAGACTAGACTATAGACTATAGACTAGACTATAGACTAGACTATAGACTAGACTATAGACTAGACTATAGACTAGACTATAGACTAGACTATAGACTAGACTATAGACTAGACTATAGACTAGACTATAGACTAGACTATAGACTAGACTATAGACTAGACTAGACTATAGACTAGACTATAGACTAGACTATAGACTAGACTATAGACTAGACTATAGACTAGACTATAGACTAGACTATAGACTAGACTATAGACTAGACTATAGACTAGACTATAGACTAGACTATAGACTAGACTATAGACTAGACTATAGACTAGACTATAGACTAGACTATAGACTAGACTATAGACTAGACTATAGACTAGACTATAGACTAGACTATAGACTATAGACTACTAGACTAGACTATAGACTAGACTATAGACTAGACTATAGACTAGACTATAGACTAGACTATAGACTAGACTATAGACTAGACTATAGACTAGACTATAGACTAGACTATAGACTAGACTATAGACTAGACTATAGACTAGACTATAGACTGACTATAGACTAGACTATAGACTAGACTATAGACTAGACTATAGACCTAGACTATAGACTAGACTATAGACTAGACTATAGACTATACTATAGACTAGACTATAGACTAGACTATAGACTAGACTATAGACTACTAGACTATAGACTAGACTATAGACTAGACTATAGACTATAGACTAGACTATAGACTAGACTATAGACTAGACTATAGACTAGACTATAGACTAGACTATAGACTAGACGAGACTAGACTAGAGGCTAGACTATAGACTAGACTATAGACTAGACTATAGACTAGGACTATAGACTAGGACTATAGGACTAGACTATAGACTAGACTATAGACTAGGATATAGACCCTAGACTATAGGACTAGGACTATAGACTAGACTATAGACTAGACTATAGACTAGACTATAGACTAGACTATAGACTAGACTATAGACTAGACTATAGACCTAGACTTATGACCTAGACTATAGACTAGACGATAACTAGACATATAGACTATAGACTAGACTATAGACTAGACTATAGACTAGGACTATAGACTAGACTATAGACAGACGAATAGACTGACTATAGACTAGACTATAGACTAGACTATAGACTAGACTATAGACTAGACTATAGACTAGACTATAGACTAGACTATAGACTAGACTATAGACTAGACTATAGACTAGACTATAGACTAGACTATAGACTAGACTATAGACTAGACTATAGACTAGACTATAGACTAGACTATAGACTAGACTATAGACATGACTATGACTATACTATAGACTAGGACATAGACTAGGAACTATAGGACTAGAATATAGACTGCTATAGACTAGACTATAGACTAGACTTCGACTGCACTTAGACTATGATAGACTATAGACTAGACTATAGAATAGGCTATAGACTAGATATAGACTAACTATAGACTAGACTATAGAATAGACTATAGACTAGACATAGATAGGACTATAGATCTAGGACTATAGAACTAGACTATAGACTAGACTTGGAGAATAGACTATAGATATACTATAGACTAGGACTATAGACTAGACTATAGACTAGACTATAGACTATGACTATAGACTAGATATAGACTAGACTATAGCTAGACTATAGACTAGGACTATAGACTAGACTATAGACTAGACTATAGACTAGACTCTAGACTAGACTATAGACTATGACTATAGACTAGGACTATAGACTAGGACTATAGACTCGACTATAGGACTAGACTCTAGGACTAGACTATAGACTAGACTATAGACTAGACTATAGGACTAGACTATAGACTATGACTATAGACTAGACTAGACTATAGACTAGACTATAGACTAGACTATAGACTAGACTATAGACTAGACTATAGACTAGACTATAGACTAGACTATAGACTAGACTATAGACTAGACTATAGACTAGACTATAGACTAGACTATAGACTAGACTATAGACTAGACTATAGACTAGACTATAGACTAGACTATAGACTAGACTATAGACTAGACTTTAGACTAGACTATAGACTAGACTATAGACTAGACTATAGACTAGACTATAGACTAGACTATAGACTAGACTATAGACTAGACTATAGACTAGACTATAGACTAGACTATAGACTAGACTATAGACTAGACTATAGACTAGACTATAGACTATAATATAGACTAGACTATAGACTAGACTATAGATTAGACTATAGGCTAGTCTGAGAACTAGACTATAGACAATAAACTATATACTAGATCAGCTGTTCCATTTGCAAGATCTCATAAACTTTTCAAGATGTTTTCTCTTCGAGGTTTTTCATTTTCTTTCTCAAGAAACAGAGTTCAGTAAAGGGGTCATAATCAGAATAAAGGGGATATAATCTATTACTTAACATGTGGTTGACCATTCACAAAGCGGCCGAAAAATATATATCCCATTCTGATCGACCCTAAATAGAACTTTCTTCCATTAATAAACCAAACATTTTTAGAAACTTCCAACAAACAAAAGTACCGACTTGCATGATAATTTTAAAACTTGATGGTTAGAATAGAAATCATTTATAATTCTCAATCTAAATTTATCATAAATTATTGAAATTCTTTATTCGTGTAAATCACTCACATAATTTTGCAAATGTAATTTACAGTTATAAATAAATAATTCTGTGGTCAATTTCAATTGATAAAATCTCTCTAATACATTGCTATATAATATAGCAATATATATTGACAACAGTAGTTAGTTCAAAAGATATTACCAAATAATAAAGTAGACACAATGTTGCGCGAATTAATTATATTTGTAACGTTTTATCTAGTAATTTTATTACTATTATTCGATACAAATACTTTAAAACTTGATAAGAAAAGTCAAATTACTAGATCTCTTTTAAATTGTGGTCGCTTTTCGTGTGGTTAAAATCGTGTGTAACATTTAGTTTCATTTTTATAATTTGATAAATTAAAAAATCCAAACTTAAATTATTTATTACATTGGCTGCAGTGCTTCCAGAGTTTAACTTTAAGGTAAAACTTGTGTGATCTTTAGTTTAAATTTCAATATTTAATTAAACCGACAATACATCATCGATGACAGATGTCAATTTGATTATTATATGTAGATCAGGCCAAAAAGTTTTCCAAACCTCATAAGTTTTTTGAAATTGGAAAATTAGGGTTCGGGTAAAATTTGGAATACATACCGAACTTAACTTTTGGTCGGACAGATACTAATCATTATCACGTATTATGGAAAAATTGGCAATGACAAAGAAAGTGTTCCAGTGCTTCAATACCCTCCCCAAACCCCGCTCATCCAAATTGAAATAGTTATGCCCGTAGTTCTTTGTGTCCAGTCAGAAATATACCATCTACCAACCACGGACTTTCTCCCGTAATACTTCTCGTACCCCTCAAGTTTGGTCCATACGACATATTCTATTATTCCAAAAGGTCGAGTGGATAATAGCACGAATGTCGTGTTCTCGTATTGAGACAGCAAAGAGGATAGTATATCTGGGCTTCTGGGATTTCATTGTAGATCCCATATAATCGACTAACGGTTTCAAAGTTTGGTGTAGAAAGAGCGTAGCTTGACATTTTACTTTTAGGAATTAATACAATCCAAGCAACATGCCATCTAAAAGACAGACATATTGAGACTAAATCCATCCACAAGAATACCGGAAAATATTTTCCATTCCCGCAGCTTTATATGGCCCATAACTCTTGATTGCCCCTTGATCAAGCTAGTTGCAATGACTATATTTCTGTTGTATTTGTAAATATTACCTGTTTGCTAGTAAAAAAAATTGCTAGTCGTAGACTTATACTAATGGTCTGAAAAAGATAATCTTGCCATTGTCTTCATTTCTCATTTATGAGATTCTCTGAGCGGAATGACATGCAGTATGAGACCAATCTCAATACATATCCCGACAAGCAGGGGATAATAGCTAGCCAAACCAATAGAGTGGGGTTCCGAAAAATTCCATTGTTGCACCTGTGGTATCACTGTATCTCGGACATTATGTGGTTTTCTGGTTCTAGGCCAGATCAAATCATTCCAATGAAAGGCCGACTTTAAAACACAGCAACTATATGGACTCCGAAGAGACCTCAAGCAATGAACAGCCAGTACAAGTCCTGTGGGCAACTGATTCCACCTCGGGTTCGACCCGGGATCAAATCAATACAAACAAGTAAGAGTGTTATATTCGGCTATGCCGAATCTTATATACCCACCATCAAACCTCGTTTGACTCGAATGAAACTTACTTATGTCGAATTTCATTTATATATACTCGTATTTTTAGGTTAGTTGTAAGCGTTAAAGTAATTTTCTGAAGGGGACCTTATATAGGGGGGTAGGGTCAATTATGGGTCGATCCTCATAAAATTTGGTAGACAGAAATTGGTTCGTATTAAATTTATTTGTGTCGAATTCCATCGCTACACTCGTATTTTTAAGCCATTAATGAGCGTTGCAGTCATTTTCTGAAGGGGACCTTATATGGGGGATAGGGTCAATCATGGACCGATCAACATAAAATTTTTGAGATAGATTTTGACTCGCATGAAACTTACTTATGTCGAATTTCATCTATATACTAGTATTTTAAGCCAGTAATGAGCGTTAAAGTCATTTTCTGAAGGGGACCTTATATGGAGGGTAGGGTCAATTAAAATTTTGCATAGTGATTTTGGATTCGTATTTTTAAACAAGTTATGGCTGTTAAAGCTGCTTTTCGAGGGGCCACTTGTATGGGGGCTATCCGAAAACGTGGACCGATATTGCCCATTTTCAAAACCAAACAAACCTTACCTATAAGAAATATTTATGTGAAATTTCAACCCTCTAGCTCTTTCCATTCGGACTCTATCGTGCTTTCAACAGACAGACAGACAGACAGACAGACAGACAGACAGACGGACGGACGGACAGAGGGACAGACATTTAATGAGGACCCAGAATATATATACTTTTATGGGTCTATGACCAATATTTGGATGTGTTACAAACGGAATGACAAAATCAATATACCCCCATCTTTTTTGATGATGGGTATAAAAAGGATATATATCAATAGAGAGGTATTCCAACAAACCCCAACAATGCGTCTGTTGCATCATTATATCTCTGCAATGACTGTAAACCACAGCCATTATGTAGAGCTCAACTAATGATCTGTCAGGACAAGTCCTGAGTGCAACTGGTACCCATACTACCAGATTCTGCAGTTCTCAGCTTCGACTTCACATCAAATCCTACCAAAGAAAGCCCGAGAATATATTTGATACTATACCCAGACAATTAGAAGCTTATTTCTAGCCAGAGCAATAGAAACAATGCATCTGTTGCATGGCTATGTTTCTGCCATGACTTTAAACCACAGACCCTGAAGAGACCACTACCAACGATTAGCCAGGACATGTCTTGCTGGCAACAGGTCCCTGTATTATCAGATTATGTGGTTCTAAGTTTCGATCCCAGATCAAATCATTCCAAGAACCCTGAAAGAACCTCAACCATTGATAAGACAGGACAAGTGCTGCTGGCAATTGGTTTCGTTTTAACAAATTATGTGGTTCTCTGGTTCGATTCCAGATCAAATTATTCCAAGGAAAGGTTGAGGAAACATTTGAGACCTCTAGTTTATGGTTCCGGCAGACTAGAGTTAGCACCTCTATGCCCCGAGAGTTATAACAAGATGATGATAGGTTCATCATGATAACATAGCCCAGGGGTAACATGTGTCTCTGTGGTAACGATATACATAAGTCTTGTCAAATTAATTAGTTTAGGTTTCGGACTAGTATAGACTTAAAAAAAGAAGGAAGTAAAAATGTTCAGCTTTTTCAACCAGATATTTGACAGATGCTACACAGCTGCATAAGATAATATCATTCGCATGAGAAATAGTTTTAAAGCCCATTGACTCAAGATCTATGAATAATGATTTCATAGCAAGGTACTAGAGAAGAGAGGATTTAGAATCTATATCTATAATCCGGCAGTTTAGTGAATGTGGCGAATAAATAGACAGGAAAGTATGCAGACACTCGAATCCAGAGAAAGAAATATTTCAGCCTTCCTTCCGAGGGACATGTATCAGTCACCTTACATCCAAGAGAATGCATACGAATGTCAAATATCCTTATATAAAATTAGACTTTCGTGATTTTGAAGCCTTTACCCCGCTACCGTTTTTCAACTAAAATTAGTCATTGAGCAAAATGTGCAATTCAAACAACCGCATCTAAACTCAAACCCTTAAGACAATACTGCTTAGAATTCTTAACTTATCTAGATGTAAATCACAAATATTACATGCAAATGTAATTTACAATTAAAAATACATGATTGTGGTAAATTTTAATTGATGAAACAACTAAAATCTGATCAAATTAATACAATTAACTGTCAATATTTATCATTATTTAACATTATTTTATCTCGATGTTCAGAAGTAAGATTTGTATGTTTAAAAATATCAATTATTCAGATCAATTTGGTTCTATATCATCCATGAAAGTTTTTTTAACTATTGTTTCCTTAAGTACTCTTTTAAATAACTCTCCCTATTTTCATTTTCAATTCTTTTCTAGTATTTACCCAAATCTGATATAATCACAAAACCGCCATACGCAGAATCGGTTGCTTCTGCTACCATAAGTGCTATAAAAAATGTTGCTGCCTCTTCGGGTACGAATCAAAATATGACCAGTACAACTAATGCCGCAGCTATTGCTTCTACGTCAACGTCTGCTACTGGTATGGATCTGGCTAGTGCTGCTGCTTATATTGGACCCTGCAGTTCTTCAAATGAAGCGCTTTAAATTAATTTAAACAAAAAAAATAAAACAGTATTTATACACAAAACAAATATATAAATTAATGAATAAATGTTAAATTTAAATGCAAATTATCTTAGAAATAAACATAAGTTTAATAATAATAAGCAAAACGTATTACGTATAGAATATGAAAATTATAAAAAAATATGCTATTTTGCATTTTATATTTGTATATAACAAAACAGATCCCTTAAAAATTTAAAAAAAAATATATAAGAAATATTTAGTGTAATTATTATTGCAACATTATTTTTATGTTTATTTAATTGAAAAAATAAAAAGTTTAATATTTTTTATACAAACTTATAGAATTTATAGAAAACTGATTAACAACAAGAATAAGAAAAAAAGATAAAAATTAACACAAAATTCAGTATTTAAAAATTTATTACAAAATTTACATACAAAGCAAATCACTTATGAAAACTCATTTAAAACCCATTACTTTTGAGAAATTATATCGAAGTCATTAACTACACAATGCTCATTATGTGCGTGATGGACCAAACTGTATGTTTAACCTCAGATAATGTGACCAGACATCCTTTATCTAAAGCTGATTTATATTCTACTTTGTGTCGATTGATGATTTTATAGCAAAATTTTATTAAATTCTTATGGACTAATTTATAAATCAGACTATGAATTAGACTATAGTCAACAATATAAACTAGACTATAATCCAGACTATAGACCAAACTAGTCCAGACTATAGATTAGAATATAGTTTAGACTATAGTTTAGACTGGATTATAATTCACACTAAAGACTTGCCTATAGTCCAGACTAGTGTATAGACTAGACTATAATATTAGACTTTAATCTTGACAATACTATTATGGACTAATTTATAAATCAGACTATGAACTAGACAGTAGTCAACACTATAAACTAGACTATAATCCAGACTATAGACCAAACTAGTCCAGACTATAGACTGAATTATAATTCAGACTAAAGACTTGCCTATAGTCCAGACTAGTGTATCGAGTAGACTATAGTCCAGACTAGTCCATAGTAGTCTTTAGTATACACAAGTCTTTAGTATAGCCTAGTCTATAGTCCAGACTAGTCTATAGTCCAGACTAGTCTAAAGTCTAGACTGGTCTATATTCCAGACTCTAGCCTATAGCCTAGACTAGTCTATAGTTCAGTCTACCCTATAGCCTAGATTGTAGTCCAGACAAGTCTATAGTTTTCACTATTGACTTGTCTATAGTTTAGACTACAGTCCACACTAGGCTATAGTCTAGACTATAGACTTGACCATAATCCAAACTAGTCCATACTCTAGACTCTGGACTAGAATATAGTTTACAGACTTGTCTATATTTCAGATTATAGTGCAGACTAGTCTAGAGTTTCGACTATAGACTTGTCTACAGTTTAGACAATAGGCTTGTCTATAGTTTGGACTATAGATTTGTCTATAGTTTGGACTATAGACTTGTCTATAGTTTGGACTATACACTTGTCTATAGTTTGGACTATACACTTGTCTATAGTTTGGACTATAGACTTGTCTATGGTATGGACTATAGACTTATCTATAGTTTAGACTATAGACTTGGCTATAGTTTAGGCTATAGACTTGTCTATAGTTTAGAATATATACTTGTTTATAGTTTAGACTTTAGACTTGTCTATAGTTTAGACTTTAGACTTGTCTATAGTTTAGACTATAAACTTGTCTATAGTTTAGACTATAGACTTGTCTATAGTTTAGTCTATAGTTTAGAATATAGTCTTGTCTATAGTTCAAACTATAGTGCAGACTAGACTATAGTACAGACTAGTCTATAGTCTAGACTATAGACTTGACCATAGTCCAAACTAATCTTTACTATAGACTACGGACTAGAATATAGTCCGGACTATATACTAATATTACAGACTATAGACTAGACAATAGTGGTAAATACTGTCTAGTCCACTTGTCTATTGTAGTCCATATTATAGACTTAATTATTGTCAAGGCTATAGACCAAACTATATTCAAAGCTATGGACTATATTATAATTTAGATTATACTTATACTTATTTAAAGTTCAGACCAAAACCTAGACAATCTAGGCTATATACTCGAACAGAACAGACTGTAGTCTAGACTAAAGACAATACTATAGTCCAGACTATAGACTAGATTATAATTAGTGTAGACTATAGTCCACCCTATATACATATATAGGCTATTGGCTGTTATATAGTCTATAGACTAGACTATAGGTTAGACTATGGACTAGACTATAGTCCAGACTATAGACTAAACTATAATCTAGAAAATAGACCAGACTATAGTACAAACTATAGACTTGACTATAGTCCAGCTTGACTATAGTCCATAATATAGACTATAGTCCAAACGATAGATTACACTATAATCGAGACTATATACTCAAAGAACAGACTATGGTCTAGACTAAAGACAATACTATAGTCCAGACTATAGACTAGATTATAATCGGTCCTTAGTGTAGACTATAGTCCAGCCTATATACATACATATATAGGCTATTGTATGATCTATAGTCTATATACTAGATTATAGACTAGACTATAGTCCAGACTATAGACTATAAACTATATAGATCAGACTGTAGCACAAACTATAGACTAGACTATAGTTCAGACTACACTATAGTCCAGTCTATGGACTAGATTATAGTCCTGCCTATAGACTCGACGGTAGTCGTGTCTATAGACTAGACTATAGTATGAACTAAAATATAGACTAAACTAAAGTCCAGATTATAGATTAGACTATAGTCCAGATTATTGGTTGAACTATTCATAAAATTAGAGTTCGGACCATGAACTAGATTAGTTCATATTCTACGGTTAACAATATACTACTGACTATAGGCGAGACTGTAATTTAGACTATAGACTAGACTATTACCCAGACTATACACTAAACCATAGACCAGAGTATATACTATAATATATACTAAATATATATATAGTCCAGATTATAGACTAGGTTTTAGCCCAGACTAATGGTTGGACTATTGATATAATTATAGTTCGAACGATAAACTAGATTATAGTGCATATTATGAACATAAGCATATTATAAACATGACTTTATTTGGGACTTTAGACTAAAAACCAAATTCTATGGCTAACACACTGGTGCTCATCGATTCTGGTTGAGAAATTCTAAAGTAGGGTGTATCGAGCGTTAGATCATTCCATAACAAAATATCCAAATCAATAACGCGATGTGGCCTATAATCTTGTATAGACGAGACTATAATTCAGACTATTGAATAGATTATAGTTCTAACTATGGTTTATATTATAAATCATACTATAGACTAGACCTTAGTCCAGATTCAGGCCACTCCATAGTTCAGACAAGAGCCAGAATACATTACAAAAAACTACCGCTTAGACTATAGTTTATACTATAGACTAGACTATAAATCTGACTATGGAGACAATGGTTATGAGTCATATAGAGTCGGAGGTTCCCCGTTTTGATAAGACGACATCAATCGTCATATGTATCGAAATGTTATCTTATGTAGTGCGTATAGCCTTGAGGTATCACCGGATAATTATCAAGATTTATTTAAAGTATTTGCCAAAAAATCTACTCCTTTTAATAGCTAGATACCCGGGCATTAACAGAGAAGGCTGAACACATCGTTTCATCTTTCTCACTGTCATTGCAGCTGTAACAAAATTTGAGGAAATATTGACCTAGGAGATATTTATATCAGTTGGCTAATAAGTTGCCTACTGTGTTTCTTGTCGAAAGAAGACTACATTAATTTGGTACCCATACATCTGTCTAAATTATTCTATCTATTTTTCTATTATTTTAAAGAAAATACCTGAAGATAGTATACTTTTAATAAATATATATGTATTACAGATTATGGAACTAAAATATAGTGCAGATTATGGATTAGATAACAGAGTATAGTCCAGACTAGCCTATTATTTAGTTTTAGTTGAGTAAAAGTGTTTTACAGGGGTGTGGCACAACTTATGACCTATTTCCAATTATTGATTGATAATTATGAAATTAGGTACAATTAAGATTTTCTATATAAAGCGAGAAGTGGTATCTACATCTAAGTGTGGAATAATCTGAACAAAATATTGCTATAAAATAATATATTTTATGTGGCTATATGTATATCACTACTTTATATGGACTTTAATAACCAGTTCAGGAAAACTTTTAAATGGAACGATTCCCACTATTTGCAGTAGAATTTATTTTTGGTTCAAAATTATTTTAAAATTTTTAACTACAGATTGATTACAAGGTTATCTGTAGTTTAAGGTGGGCGAAGGACCACTACTATTACATTTTGTCAAATGTTATCGCGCACAAAAACATTTCACAAAAACTGAAAGAAAAAATCGAAATTTCATTTTCAATAAGGACTACAATAATTTATAACTGAAATTAAAATTAAATAAAAGAATGAATAAATGAAAAACCAACAAAATACACAGTAAATTGTAAAAAAAAAATATTAATAAAAATTCAAGAAAAATGTATGTATGTAAGTTAATTATACAACGTGTAGACTTGTAAAGAATTTAAAATAAAAACCCAGAAAAAAAAAACAGAAATGAATTTACACAATAAGGTTTAAAAAACAAACATTGAAGTTTTTTTTTATTATTACAAAAAACTTAAATAAATATTGAAAAAAAAAGCAAAATTATACAATATATATATTTCCTTAATATGTATGTTCCTTTTGTAAAGAAAAGTTTAAAGAAAAAAAGAAAACAATTAGTTAAAAAAAAATCTCAAATCTAAAGTTTTAATTTTCTTAGTTTATTTTTAGAAAATTTTCTAGACAAAAATAAAGAAGACCTCTTCCAAGAGTTTCATTTCAAAATCAAAACAATAATTAATATAGCCTACCTAGCCCCTTACTACATACATTAAACGTTTAGAGAACAAAAAAAATTACAACAAAAATAAAAAAACTATAACAAATTAATTCAAATAAAAAACACTTATACAACTCTGCAGTAAAAAACTATTAAAAAATAAATTTGGTTGTCCTTTAAAAAAAATAACACAAAAATAATAAAACTAAAATTAAAATACAATTTAGCTAAATATTTA